ATATTTAATACTTATTATAAAATAAGCTTTGTGTTAGATGATTTTGCCCACCTGTAGGCTAATGTAAGTGCTCTCGGCATATTTAAAGTAGGTTAGGCTAAACTATGTTCAGTAGGTTACAAGTATTAAATGCATTTTTGACCCAATATTTTCCATTTTTACAATGAGTTTATCAAGATACAACAAGGAAGATTAACATAGGTAAAAAGATAGGTGAAGATTTAAAAAAAATAAAGATAAATTAGTTACAAGAAATTTGACTCAATAAGAGGCTAGTAGGTGTTTTTCTTTTCCTCTTGACCATGAATGACATGGAAGACTAATTATAACGTTTATTAAAATCATTAGCAAAATGGAACAACAGGAAAGAACAGAACAAGAACAACCTGGAATAAATGTCACCTAAAAAAAGGTGGGAACAAAACTAAATAAAAGCTGGGTTCAGGTAAAGAAGCATCTGAAACCCAATTTTCTAATAGCAATATTTATATAACCTTTCCCCTTTTAATGTATAAATACTTCGAATACTATACATGGAATAAAGAAAAAATAGTTTTTAAAAATAGATATTTAAATTGTATAATATTTATATTCATTTCCTAGGACTGCTGCAACAAATTATTGCAACCTTAGTGGCTTCACACAACAGAAATTTATTTTTTCACAAATCTGGAGGCCAGAAATCTAAAATCAAGGTGTCAGCAGGGCAGTGCCCTCCGTTCCCTCCGAAGGTCGCGGGGAAGAATCCTGCTTACCGGCTCCGGCCTCTGACGGCTCCAAGAGGATCTTGACTTTGGCGGCTTAACTCCAGCCTCTGCCTCCGTCTTCACACGGCCTTTTCCTCCTCGGTGTCTGTGTCGTCTCCTCTTCTGTCTCAAATCTCTCTCTGTCTTTCTCTTATGAAGACGCTTGTCATTGTATTTAGGGCATCTACTCATGTAATGCAGGATGACCCAATGCCCAAATCCTTAATTTAACTACATTTATAGAGACCCTTTTTTCCAAATAAGGATGTATTCAAAAGTTCCAGGTATTTGGCATGGACATATCTTTTGGGGGGCCAGCAGTTAACCCACTAAAGGTTTTGTTTAAACAGAAAAATAAGTTAACAAAGTTGAATAATGATCCTAAGACTAGATTTTAATCCAAAAATCAATTTTATTTGCTAATGAAATGTTTACAGTTTCTTTCTTTTTTTTTTTTGGTTTAAAACAAGTAATTTGTTGTATTGAAATACTACACATATATGTAGTCTTCTAGAGATTTTTATCATTGTACTTAAAGGCATGCAGAGCAATTAGGATGATGAGAAATGGGTCAAATGTTTAGTTTTTTTTTTAAATTAGGACATCATTGATATACAATTTTATGAAGGTTTCACATGAGCAACATTGTGGTTACAACATTCACCCATATTATCAAGTCCCCCGCACATACCCCATTACAGTCACTGTCCATCAGTGTAGTAAGATGCTATAGAGTCACTACTTGTCTTCTCTGTGCTCTACTGCCTTCTTCATGACCAACCTATTATTATCTGTGCTAATCATAATCCCCCTTAATCCCCTTCTCCCTTCCTCCCCCTCCAACCTCCCCATTCCATTCCCTTTGGTAACTGCTAGTCCCTGCTTGGAGTCTGTGAGTCCACTGCTGTTTTGTTCCATGAGTTTTGCTTTGTTCTTATACTCCACAAATGAGGGAAATCCTTTGGTACTTGTCTTTCTCTGCCTGCTTATTTCACTGAGCATAATACCCACTTAGCTCCATCCATGTTGTTGCAAATGGTAGGATTTGTTCTTCTTATGGCTGAATAATATTCCATTGTGTACCAGTTCTTCTTTATCCATTCATCTACTGATGGACACTTAAGTTGCTTCCATATCTTGGCTATTGTAAATAGTGCTGTGATAAACATAGGGGTGCATATGTCTTTTTGAATCAGGGATCTTGTTTTCTTCAGGTAAATTCTTAGGAGTGGAATTCCTGGGTCAAATGGTATTTCTATTTTTAGTTTTTTGAGGAACCTCTATACTGCTTTCCACAATGGTTGTACTAATTTACATTCCCACCAGCAGTGTAGTAGGGTTCCCCTTTCTCTGCATCCTCGCCAGCATTTGTTGTTCTTTGTGTTTTGGGTGTTGGCCATCCTAACTGGTGTGAGGTGGTATCTCATTGTGTTTTTTACTTGCATTTCCCTGATGATTAGCGGTGTGAACATCTTTTTATGTGCCTGTTGGCCATCCGAATTTCTTCTTTGGAGAATTGTCTGTTCAGATGCTCCACCCATTTCTTAATTGGGTTATTTACTTTTTGGGTGTTGAGGCATGTGAGTTCTTTATATATTTTGGATGTTAACCCCTTGTCGGATATGTCATTTATGAATATATTCTCCCATACTGTAGGATGCCTTTTTGTTCTCCTGATGGTGTCCTTTGCTGTACAGAAGTTTTTAGTTTGATGTAGTCCCATTTGTTCATTTTTGCTTTTGTTTCCCTTGCCTGAGGAGATGCATTTAGGAAAAAATTGCTCATACTTATATTCAAGAGATTTTTGCCTATTTTTTCTTCCAAGAGTTTTATGGTTTCATGACTTACATTAAGGTCTTTGATCTATTTCAAGTTTACTTTTGTATATGGAGTTAGACAATAATACGGTTTCATTCTCATACATGTAGCTGTCCAGTTTTGCCAACACCAGTTGTTGAAGTGGCTGTCATTTCCCCATTGTATATCCATGGCTCCTTTATCATATATTAAATGGTCATATATAGATGGGTTTAAATCTGGACTCTATTCTGTTCCACTGATCTAGAGGTCTGTTCTTGTGCCAGTACTAAATTGTTTTGATTACTCTGGCTTTGAAGTTGGGGAACCTAATCCCCCCAGATTTATTCTTCCTTCTCAGGATTGATTTGGCTATTTGGGGTCTTTGTGGTTCTATATGAATTTTAGAACTATTTGTTCTAGTTTGTTGAAGAATGCTGTTGGTATTTTGATAGGGTCATTGAATCTGTAGACTGCTTTAGGCAGGGTGGCCATTTTGACAATATTAATTCTTCCTATTCATGAGCACAGGATGTATTTCCATTTATTGGTATCTTCTTTAATTTCTCTTATGAATGTCTTGTAGTTTTCAGGGTATAGATTTTTTACCTCCTTGGTTAGGTTTATTCCAAGAAATGTTTAGTTTTAAGAAAATCCATTTCCTCTAGCAGTTTTAAAAAATGTAAGATAAGACTTTGGGGAGCCATCATATGCACATTAGTCTAATAAAATAAATATTAGAATTAGAGGACCCAACTTATAGATTAGGGTCTAGTCAGGAAAATAGACCCTGAACTAGGTAGTTCAGAAAGAGAGGGCATATTAATATAGGAAACTATATTGCAGAGAGACCTGAAAGGTCAAAAAGAGAAAGGTAATAACCCTGAGACTAGTAAGGACAGAGAGACAGACAGCAGCTGAGGGGAGCACTTCAAGAACAGGATTGCACCTCTTACTGTGTCTCTGGGCGGGACACCAGGGAGAGGGCATTCTGAAATGAAGTCACTTCTAGAGATACTTCCAGAAACAGAAAGAAAGAGAACAGTGGCTTCTCTTCTTTTTTCCCCCGTGCCTTCTAATTTTCTGCTGGAACCTTCTTTGGCAGAACCTAACAGGAAGCCAGCTAGAAATGTGATTTGTAGGCTCCTAATCCCAGTGTTTTGAAGCCAATTGTAGAAGGGTTGATGCAAGGCTAAGAGACAACAGGCAAATAACTAGCACATCCAGAGATGAGGAAAGGCAGGGATAGTTCTTATTGTTGATGACACAGTCAGTCAGAGCACCAAGATAAGTAACTCTTCATGCCCCTTGACTGAATAATGCCTCTCTGGGGAACATAATCAAAAGAAGTAACTTAAAGGAAGAAAAGAAAGAAAGAACTTATCCAGAGATGTTGGAAGTGGTGTCATTTATAACAGCAAAACCATGAAAACAGTTCATATGCTCAGCCATAGGGAGATGATTAAGCAAACAGTGGCAGATTGATGTTACAAAATACTCTAAAGCTTAAAAAAAGAAATATTTCAAATAAGGATGAAAATATTCATATGAAATTAATCTAAGTGTAAAATGCAGAACCCAGAATTGTATGTCTACTATAGTAATTACAACTATGTAAAATGTATGAAAGTATATAAACAAAGATCAGGGGAGACTTGGAATGATATAACTTGTTTAGAGCTTAATGTTTCTTAGGCTTCTTTTCCTCTATGAAATGCTTAAGTTCTTAATCCAAAAAGAAAAGTAAATGAGTCTTTAATGCTATTTTTAGATTCCAAACCAATTAAAAATTATGTGTTTTATGTTAAGCTGCTTTGAAGACAAAAAGCCAACACATAGACACACACACACACACACACACACACACACACACACACACACACACACACACACACACACACACACACACACCAACCTGCCTAACCATTCCCACCACAGCTCTTTTTACAACTCTGGCATTAATCACTGCCATGGCCTGAGGCCAGTGTCCGATTGGTCTCAAGATTTTATTTTACAACCTGAGAACACTGGCTGGCTCCCAGCGCCTCTGCTCCTGCCCTGAGCTGTGCCTTTCTTCTTGTTGCTTTACTTCATGTGTTTTACTACAGGCTGGAGCTGTTAAAGTTAACCAAAGTAGTGGATAAAGATAACAGGGAGAGTACAACCCCCTACCCAGCATTTTCATGACTATTTGAATTTTTGTAAATATCTGTTGTTTCACAGGGATTTGTTCTCTCCCTGAGCCTGACGTGCCTTAGAACATGCCTGAAACAAAAGCACTCTGAACCCACAGGGCAGAAAGGCCACACCTTTGGCTTGCCTCTCCCCCCACCATGTTAGTTCCCAGAATCATGATTTGCCAAGTTTTTTGGACTCGTGAACTCTGCCTCATTAGAAGGCTCATACAGATGCTTGTCACAGCCACCTTTAGACTATTTGTAGTCTGACAGTATGTGGTTGCAGCAGGAAAAGTATGGCAACAGAACTGCCTCCCATAGGTACTGCTGGCAGATTGGCCAAAGACCTTGGCCATGCCCTGGGGTGGCTCTCTTTGTGGCTGATAAAGCAGTTAGAGGACTTACTGAGAACCAAGCTTCAAACAAGATCAGCTTGCCATTACTACCTTTTGTGATGCTACTTGAGTATCATTTCCAAAGGATGCCTCGCTTCATGTTCCAATTTTGCTACCTGTCCAGGTAAGTTATTTCAGCTCTCCGTGCCTCAGTCTCCTAATGTATAAAATGGGAAAATAATAGTACCTACTTCAGAGTTTTGTTGAAAAATCTGGGACAATGTCCTTAAGGCTTAAGGGAGGATACTGCTAGTTGTCTACTCAAGATTCATTCTACCTTTCTTTTTCATTAGCAGAAGTATGATTTTGTTTGGGGTAGTAGCGTGCCTAGCTTAACACACTCCCTTCACAGAATCCCTCATAGCTCTTGTGACCATATGATTCTGTTCTACAGGGAGGGGCTTCCAGGAAAGTGACAATTTCTGATTTAAAAAAAAAGGGGGGACAGAGCCAGCCAGGATGTGTATTTTGCTCTTTGCTCTTTCCTTTTCATTCTGTAGAGAATGGGGATGCCTGAAAGAAAAGCAGCCATCTTGCAACTAAGAGAACAAAAGCTACATGCTAAGAATAGGGTGATTAGGAAGATAGAAGGACCTGGGTCCTCCATAACTTTCTCAAGCAGCTGTGCTAGGAATTGGCTACCTGCCTCCTGACTTCTTGCTACAGCAGAAAAATGAACTCCATGTGGCTAAGGCACTGTGGTCAGGGTTCTGTTATAGGCAGCTGAATGCAATCCTGATCTAAGTACTCAGCATACTGCCTGCCAATAGTAATACCTTAATAAAGGTTACCTTTTATTTTTCTGTAATATCATGATTGTAAGTCAGCTGTCATTGCACTGAGCACTAAGAGATTCACAGTTATTGTTCTGGAACTTTGTGATGGTAAATAATGCATAAGTTTTCCATTAACAATTAGAACTGGTAAACATTCTCAGTATTCAGAGACACCAGCTGTACTAATATTTGTTAAAATAGAATTTGACATCATATTGTAGGTTTTTTTTTTAAATTGCTGTGAGGTTATAGTCAAAGAGCCTGCTAAGGAGATGATTTCACTGATAAATCTAGTAAACTTCTGAGGGGGAAGGGAATAGAATATTTAAATATTCTGGCTGTTTATGTTCTTCCAAAAGCAAGTTTTATCTGATGGAAAGAAATGTTCATTTCCAAGAGATGCTTTATTTATTTTTATTTATGAATATAATCAGCTTCTTTGGAATTCAAGAACATTCTAATGCTTTCTAAGTAAGACTGATGCTGGGGACAGGGAGAACAGAATGTTGTTGATTCACCCAGGAGTAAATCTGAAATACATAAAAGCCCTAGGAGATTTCTCCAGATTTTCCCAAGGACTGGTATATGGCACCATAAATAGCTTGCCCTCCTATCTCTGCTTTCCTAAGCTCTTGTACTTGGACTGAAACATGGGTCCATCCCTTACACCAGAAAAACTATTTCCAACTTCAGTCTGGAAAATTTTTTTTTAATTCAATTGCAAACGCAGTCCCCCACTACCACAAATTATGCAGTCAAGTTTCCCACATTTGGGGAAATTGCAGGGGTCAGCATATCTGGAATGCAATGGATAAGCCTCGCCCTGGGAAGACCACCTTCATGATCATGGTATCTCCCCTGCCAGGTAAGTATTCAGTCTGGAAATTTAACATTACCATATGACTAGGGAGAAATCAGAAAACCTATCAGATGTCCCCATAATCCTCTAATTCAATTGTGTTTTTTCTTCTCTCAGTTTTTATATATATTTTGTTGTTCAAGTAGAGAAAAGCAGTGGGATAGGTTGGTTTTATGCTGCAGTAATAATTCAAAACTCTCAGTATCTGAAAATATGAAAATTTGTTTCTTATTCATTCTATTCACCCTTCACGTGTCTCTGCAGGGACATTCTCCTCATTTTAGCCATTGAAACCAAACTGAGAGAACAGCCACCATCTCGAGTGTTGCTAGTCACCTGTCAAAAGGAAGGGGCCTTGTGCCGGCAGTCTCAAATATGTTTTACATTTGCTCAGAACAGTCCCACACACAGCACCACACAACCAGAAGTGGGCCATGAAGTGCAATCCTAACCGTGTGGTAGGAAGGGGAGCACCAGAAAGAGCTGGAATGTAGCACTAGCAACATAAGAAAAATAGTATTACTGAGTAGGACCACCCACCTACAGCTGTGTGTCATATCACTTATGTCATCTGATTCTCATAACAAATTTTGATACTGTTTAATTTCCAGACAAGAAATCTGAGGCTTAGCCAGGTCAAGTAATTTGTTCAAAAATCCCATCAAATATGTAGATTTGTTTTCAGTTTTATCTGATTTCAAAGTCCATGCTTTTTCCATTATTTCCCCAAGTCTCCTATTATAACATGTTCAGCTGCTCACAACTTCACAACCTTGCGGTGGGTCAGAATAGAAAGTGGAGGAAAGGAATTTACTGTTAAATACTTCTCTCTGCAAAGCCAAATGGTTCAAACTTCCTTGTCCTCATTTGTATAATGAGGTGACCAACTGAACTCACTTAACCAGGGACCTGAAACAGAACCCCACAAGGCCAGAAACAAAAATGACTAAGACAAGATTTCGCAGGAGATACCAGGGATGCCGAGTGGGGTCAGACAGACAGGGCTGGAAAGTTGAGAGGCAGCATAATGCTATTTCTGTTCCTCAAAAATCTTCAAATGATCACTTCAGAATGTCACCTATTACCCTGGGTGGTGCTCAATTGCTTTAAAGGGCTCTCTTTGCTATTACATAAGTGTCATCTTTAATCCCTGACGAGTGTAATTTTGAGAAGTTCATTAGACGCCTTACATATATATATATTTTTGTTACTTCTCTGAATATACTAATTCTGAGAGGGATTCACACTTTCAAGTGAAGTAGGCACTCAAGTATGCCAGAAAGCTTGATTCTATCTAGAAGTCTCAGGCAGAGCACGGTTGCAAACCATTGACCTGTTTCTAAGAAGGATACAATTTTCTGCAAGAAGAGGATGATCCTTTAAGCTTTTAAAATAATTTTTACACTGTGTCTCACTTCTAGTCTCTAGTCGTGAGACTTTACATATTCAACCAAAGTTGAAGACGTTAATGTAATGTAGCTAGAGTTTTATTTTTCTAAGTACTCTCTCAAAAAAAGAATTATAAATCTGAAGAAATGTAACTCCTTTTCTGATGGATACTGTACTTAAAAGTGTGTGTGATAAAATGTTATATGTAAAAGGCAGTCTGTATACTTCTATAGCACTTGCTTCTAGACCTCTTAGGCAGCCTGTATGCAACAAAGTAACCTGATTGTGCTTGTCGGGGTCAGTACCCCACCTCCCCTCTGATTAAGTCTATTTTAGCTATACTTGTGTTTGAATTATAGATGACGGATGATTTTTTTCCCCTGCCTCTCAATTTTTCTTTAGCATTACTTGCTTTTATTTTTTTAAATTAAGGTATCATTGATATACACTCTTACAAAGGTTTCACATGAAAAACAATGTAGTTACTACATTCACCCACATTATCGAGTCTCCCCCTACCCCATTGAAGTCACTGTCCATCGGTGTAGTTAAGATCTTGAGCATTACTTTCATGATAAAATATTTTTAAAACTTGAAGAACATTGACATCAGTTCAAGTACTTCATATTACACACTCCTATATTCCTATAGACTTTTTAAAAGGGAAATCATTGTGAAGATAGAGAATCAAAGCCTCAAATAGTACTCTTAAAATAATCAGTAAGGCATGGAAGTCAAAGCTCAACTTTAAGAGGAATGTCCTAGAGTTGGGTATCAACTCCTCCTTATAACAGCCAAAATTTAAGTCACCTGAATAAATAGAGAGAAGAGGAGGAAAGAACAATCTGAATTCTTCAACCTTTCATATTTAAAAGAAGAAACGGAAGAGGTAATTCCAACTGACCCTTTGTGTTTTATGGGTTTTGCATCTCTGGGAAGATGACAGCCCCTTCTAAACACATGTCCATTTGCATTAGCAGCCTTTCCCATGGGTGACTTAAGTGCCTATTTGAAACATTCCAACAAAGAAACAAAAAAGACATCAAAGGACCAAATAAATCCACACAAGTAGGGAATCTGAGAGCCAGTTTATTTGGACTTTATCTCACTCTTATTTGCCCACCAGAATCCGAATGAGACCATAAAACAGTCAATACTCTAAAGACCTACTTTGCATAGTTAAAGCAGTACAGATCTTGACTCTCCTTCTGGGAATGTTACAGTGGATGCTTTGACAGTGTTAGCAGAGGGGACAAGGAGAGGATACTGGAGCCATTATTTTACTAACATATTTTAAGTGAGTCAAATAGGTGTCAAGTTCTGGTCGAAACACTAATTTAGCCTGGATACTAAAAATGAAAAAGAACAGGATGAGAACAGTTTTCATGCTACTTGGGTGGTTACCTGGAATGGCCCTGAGCCCCCAGCTTGGGTCGCTGATGTAATTCAAGTCAAACGATTAACTTTTCAGACGGTCAGTCTAGGCCTGGATTCCTTTGTTTTAGCCTAACATTCTCTTTTTAATGACTTGTCCCCCTCTTTTCTTACACTCCTCCCTTCCTTGATGGTATCGTTACATATGGAAAATTGCAGATGTTTAGTTTATATAACAGAGAAGATTAATACTCACTTTAAAAAATATCTGCTACATGAATAAAACCCATACAGCAGCACATGCAAAATGCATGTGAAGAACTCCAGGGCCCTTAACTTTAGTGAGAGCTAAAGAATGTTTTTAAGTGGAGACGAAGAAATGATGGGAATAGTTGCTGCTGGATGGAGACATCAGTCCCCTGATCCCACTAGCTCAACAGGAATTAAGTGCAACCACGAACAGGGAAAGTCATTAAGCTGATGGTGTTTTTTTAGGAAGTCCTTTCTTTGCAAGCTGGCTAGACACGTTTGTTGCGCTTGCCCAAGGAGTACTGAGATAAAGAAATTGGGGAGATGAGAAGAAATGATGTGCGCAAAAGACAAACACTGAAATTCTAATGGGTACCCAGCAGAGGAAGGCTATGGAGTTGATAAGAAGTCAAGGTTAAATGCTGAGTTAACTTCTTTAACTGGTGTCTTAACTCTTCCCTATGACTGTTAATCAAC